GGGAAGGAATGAATTAAGAAGAAAAATAAATTTACAAAATTCATTTCATTCATTTGTCATACCAAAAAGTAACATGCAAGCCCATTCTGAAAGGTAGTACAAAATATTGGACATATATTAAAAGTTTGCATTACAATTACTCTGAATTTGAATTAAAAAGTGTGAAAAATTCGACTATCTTTCAATTACAAAGCTTTTCATACGAGTCACAAGGATAGATCAAGTTTATAAAATTGGCAACATCTTGCTCTTCATTAGTCATGGTGTATATTTCTATAATAAGCTTAAGTCCATTAATCCTTGTAAAATTTATCTAAGTTCACTATATTTATTGGTAGAATGTTCGACCCCATGTTGAAAACCACATTCTTTGGCCTTAAAAGTTTATTCTTCAATCAACTTCACCTAGCACAATTCTAAAAAGATAACTCTCATGGATGTTTTGATTTCTTTCACCTTCTTGACAAGTTGGTAAAGTCTTTCATCATTGACATTTATCGTTTCACCTTCACGACTTAGAAGGGAATTATTAGCAACATTCAAACCTTCTTGTTTAAAGCTCAACACTCATTTTTCTATGAAGTATTATACTTTATGTTTCAAACTCTAACATTTGTTTATTGAGTGTCTGATGCTACCAGTATGGTAATACCTTTGACGTTTGGATCATAACCTTTTAAATATGGTGGTTCAATATATTTAAAAGGGAAAGGAACAATTAAGGAGCTACTGACCAAATGTGGGAGAAGTTATATGTAAGCCATAATGATGGAGGCAAGAAATGTTTTTTGTGGATAATACATTTCCTTTGAGTGTTACTGACATTCTAGTGTAGGGAGTTTTGTTGGCTTATTTGAGGGATTGATGGTGGTGGAACCCGTGAAAGAGTAACCGATAAGTCATCATAGGATGAAAGAATTGTTGATAAGGTGATTAGGAAATTATTGTTATTTGTGGGTTGTACATGAGTTGGGATCGATAATTAAACATGAAAGGGATGATATTGTCATTGGACATGATTGGTGTGGATATGAAGACATTGACTGCACCATTCGTTTTCTTATATGATTCAATTGTCATGTAAGTAATTTTTCAACTCCTTTCTCCAATGACAACTTAGTTAGAGAAATTTGATTATACTTTTTCAATTATCCTGTCATAGAAGGATGATTGGAGCATATCAATAAACATCGTGACCATTTTCTTTTCACATGAAGGAGGTTGTACATAAGTAGTCACCTCTCTAATGTTGTGCATACTCTTTAAATGTTTCTCCTTCCTTCTTTACCATATTTTGTCTTTAAGTCTTATCGGGAGTCATACCCATATCATATTTATACTTCTTTAGAAAATCTTTTGCCAAATCTTTCCAAATATGTATTCATCCATGATTTAAATTTAAATACCATCTTAAAGCGTCTCCAAGCATAAAGTCAAATTTTATTTTGTTTTAGTCATTTTTCTCTCTCCATTTTAATATGTTAGAGACTTATTTGATTGTTCTTCCTTATCTGAGTTGATTAAAGAGTCATCATATTTTACATGTTTTTAAAACTACATGGAAAGACTAGTCATTCATCGATAATTTGTCCCTTGAGAGATCATTGTAGTCATTGTTGAAAGAGCTTGTTAAGTTGTCTAGACAATCTTTTCAGATTTTTAGCCTAACAAAATTTTTTTTTGTGACCTTATCTTTTACTTAAACTAATTTTTTCGAGTTTTCAATGTACTAGGTCACTCTAATTTTTACTTAGGCCGCCTTTTCGGGTTGTCAACCTAGCAAGTGTTTTTTTTTTCAAGTATATTAAATTTTTTACTACATTAGAGTTTACCAAGAGAGGTAAGTCTTTCGCATCCATGTTTGTAAGAATTAGGGTTCCTCCTAAAAATATTTTACTCACCACGTCAACCACTTCATAAAATGGAGTCTACTTTTCTCGATGATCATTTTGCGTTAATAATAGCTCTTTGAGTATCAAGTCTCCTTTTTTAAATTCTTAAGGGTGGACTTTTTATCATAAAATCTCTCTAACATTTTCTGATACAATTATTCATGACATAAGGTAATTAATATTTTCTTCTTCAATAAAGTTCAACTAATCATAATGAACTTAAATTCATTTAACTTCCTTGAGTTTGATATTTTCTAGTACTCTCAATGAATAGATTTCTCCCTTTTATTATTATTATTATTATTTTTTACGTGTTTTCTATAATTATGTCTTAAATATTTTTTTTATCTCTCTTATAAACTCTCTTTTTAGTTTTTTTTTTACCTTCCTTCATAACTCTCTTTTTATTATTCAGTTTGTAGTTTTTTTTTTCTACTACTCTTCTTAACAGTGGCGGATCTTCTTAGAAACTTAGGGGAACTTGGGCTCCCCAAAGTTTTGTAACTCTCATGTAATTTATGATTTTGGTCCCCCAGACTTTAATATATTTACAATTTTATCCTCTCAGTCTCTTCTCAGTTTGTAACTCTTAAATAATCTAATTTATGATTTTGCTCCCAAACTTAATGATTATTTTATATATTTACTTATACATTTACAATTTTATCCTTTCATCTTCTTTCATTCTTTTATATTTATTTATTATTTTTTAATAATATATTATTTAATCCCCCAAAATCAATGGTCAAGATCCGCCACTTGTTAAGTATCTTTCTCTAACTTTCTCCCTCCTTTTTCTTTTTATTGATCATGGTATTAAACTCTTAACTTAAAATGGGATATTATATAAATAATTATCATGGTGAATAGTAAGATGAAGAGAATAATAAAGAAGTTGAAAATGATTATTTGTGGTTGTATCAAATTAAGGTAAAAAATAAATTAAATAATTTTTTTATCAGGAGATATTTTCCATAATGGGTTTGCAAAAGAATCCAAACTAAAAGGATTTCTTATCTCACTTAAATTAAAATAATCAAATAAAAAAAATAATTTAGTTTTTTTAGTTTTAAATTATTTATATTAGATGGATCTTAATTCTTTTTATAGATTTTAATTAAAAAATATTTAGTATTTAAAATTAGTATGAATGAGGAGAAAAAAATTGATATATATATATATATATATATATATATATATATATATATATATATATATTAACAAAGTGATATATGGCACCAATAGATAAATAAAAATAAAATAATAAAATTGGATGTTCACATAAATATAAAAACAGTAAAAATAGTTTTAATTGAATAAGTTAAGTCGACGACTTCATATTTATCACTAATTAAAAAAATAAAAACTTAAAATCGAATAATATTTTGTCAGTTTAGGATTTGAATTGATCCGATCCATAAACTAATTGACCAACGCGCTTTTTCAAAAATAAGAATAATAATATTTTAAAAATTAGAAATGATTATTTTATTAAATATATAATTATATTACAAGTTTTATATAAAATTATCTAACATAAAATTGAAATTCTTTTATTAATTAAACAACATATATGTATTTTTTATTTTTTTAAAAACGTATAAATAAAAAATACACATTAAACCAAAGTCTCAAATAAAGCATAAAAAAAAATTACTTCCCTTTAAATTTTAACTATTTCTCGAAAATATACCTTTCAGTACTCTTTGAATGAAAGATAATAAAATTTTCACTGAATCATTATTCGACAAACACGGATTTTGCTAATATAAATTTTTAAAAAAATCTTTTACAATTACATTTATTATTACTGTGTTTAGCATGTGACTTTAATATATTTTATAAGCAATTAAATTAGTCGAATATTATATGCAATCCTCAGAATTAGCTTAATCTATGAGGATTATTGTTGTGTTAATGTTGGATTGGACGCAATTTCTTTTAATCATTTAAAATTAACTTTATTTCACATCTCTAGTTTTTTTCTTCTAAAATTAACTAATTTTTTTCTCAATCTTTGAAAACTAGAATAAATACGTTTATTATATATTATTTTGGGTTTAAAAATAACACGCTTCTAAAATCGGTTTAATATTAAATAATTGAGATAACTTATACAAATTTAGCTTAATACTTCATTTCATCTTATCATGTTTTGATTTTTTTGTTGTCTCATTATTATATGCCCTTTCAAATTTAGTCTTATTTTTTAAAACGAGATAATATTATATTTTTATCTACATTGTTAATATACTTAACCATGTTTTAAATCATAAGTTTATTACCATATTGGTGAAAATGCAAAAACTAGAACGAGCAAATTCAAGAAAGAACAATAATTTTAATCTTCTCTGAAGCACATTCACTCTTTCTCGAACACCGTGTCTCTTTTGTCAAGGAAGAAAAAGTAGAAAGAAAAAAAAAAGTAAAAGAAACTTTACCCAGTAAAAGATGGCCATGATGATGAGGAAGAAGACGACATGATTGAATATGATGGACATGGGAGGGACACACAATCACACAAACAGCTTTTTTTCAAAGAAAAATATTTCAAAGCAACTTTAGTCTTTGCCTCTACCCATCATCTTTTGCTTCAACTTTATCTCATCATAATTCTCTGTGAGAGCGTGCTCAATCTTCAATAATAACTCACACAAATCAAAACTCAAAATATAATCAAGATCCCAGTAATAACGTTCCCATCAAAAGATATCTAGTTCAACTATCATTTGATATTATCTTCTGCCATTTTCCATTTACCATTGTGCACCTGAACGCAAGAGAGGACAAAATCTTACATAAATTCTGATAAAATCTGCACACAGATTATTAATCTTTTTATTATTGCCACTCAATCAAACTTACAACAACATTTTTTTCTTCATTAAACTTAGATCATCTTAATATATATATATATATATATATATATATATATATATATATATATATATTTCCCAAGGCAATTGATGAAAAAAGCTCTACAATTTCATTCACAATGCTGAAATTACATAACTCCAAGAACTCTTCCGCGTTATATTACGAAACATCATCACTTACCAAGAAAAGAGAGACATTGACTTTGACTATTAGGTTGGCTAGCAAGAAATGTTAACTTTTCTTTCCTTTCACTTTCCTTTTTCCGGTGGTGGTGGCTGCGGCTGCGCGGTGGCGGAGGTTTCCATCGTTGAGGATCAACGGCATGTCGTCGTTGGCCTCATCGACATCTTCTTGAGTGGCAATTCTGATGCAGCAATGTTCCAAGGAGGCAAAGAAAGCTGTTGTGACACCGTTGATGAACCACATGGCCACTCCATCAGGTTTTCCGCAACCTTTGACCTTGTTTTCACCACCGTTTTCGTTGCTATTTGTTGATCGGAGAGTGAAGAAGCCATTGGTGGAAGAGGTGGTGGTGGCTGCCATGGTTACTATTGAAATGGCCACGGCACACACAACCAGAATAAAACGGTGAAGGTTTTGGCAGTTAATGAACTTTTGCTAGGTTTAGTACAACTATATAATATGATTTGATTACATATGGGCATGGACAAAAATCAAAATCTTAACTGCAATCATTTTATTTAACAATTTTGATTTATCTGTTAACTTCATATTTAATATTTTAGTTTGATCGTATTTTTATATTTTTAAATCTTATTTCGAATGAATCTAAAAAAATTATTTAAATAAAATTTATATAATTTATTTATTTAAATAGACCGATTTATTATATGATAGTTAGTTTTTTCTTAGTAATTATAATATAATAATAATATTTGTAACATCTCAAATTTCTTTTATAATATATTTTTATATATAATATATTAAATTATAGTATTTCTGAATCATTTAAATATATTGATTGTTTAATAATAACATTATCAAATTTTAATCTATTATTTTTAATTAAACAATAAGATAAGATGGAATAAGAGAAAAAAAAATAAACAAATAAATAAATAAAAAGAGAGAAAAAAATACAAATGAAGGGAGAGAGAAAATTAACTGTAATAGGTTAAACTAATTAATTTGTTCTTGTTAAAATTTGTGTATGAAAAGTAAACTGAGTTGAATAAATGAACTTAAAAAGATTTTATTTATGTAATTTTTCTTTTTAAATATATTATTTATGACATTGATTTTTTCAAATAATTAAAGTTATTTTTATAATTTTGTTTCTCAAATTAAAAATAAATTATCTCAGATCTTTCAAATAAAAATAAAAAAACTCAGTTCATTTCATGGTGGTGATATTTTTGTCATTTAAAAAGATTTAAAAATTTTCTTAATTTTTGGTAAAACATTAATATTTTTTTTCTAAATTGTCCTTTAAATTATCATCTTATTATTTCGCTCACTACTACAAATAAAGCTTTCAACGTCGGTTCGAAAGGCTTTCAACGTCGGTTTAATAGCCGAGCGTTGTATCAGGCGACGTTGAAAGTCGTAACTTTCAACGTCGGTTCTAAGGGAACCGCTATCTAATGTCAACTTTAGATAAACCGCTATCTAATGTCGACTTTAGATAGCGGTTGGTTCTTAAAACCGACGTTGAAAGTATGATTTTTTAAATTAATAATTTTTATTAGAAGTCTCCCTCTCTTCCTATTATATTTTTATTAGGTTCTCCATCTCTTTATATTATATTTTTTAGAAGTTTTTTAATTTTTAAGAAAATTGTCATTGGCAGGATTCGAACCCGAGTACTTTAGAGTTGGAGGTCGATACTCCAACCACTAAACTACTTGAATTTTTTGATAATAACTTACGAATAAATTATATTTATATACAAATAAATATATATCCGTGTAAATATATACAAATAAACCTAGTACTTTCATCTTCTTCACGCTGATAATCCTCCAAAATTTTGTGTTCTTCATGCTTGACGACCCTCCCAAATTCACCTTCCAGCTCACAATTTCACTCCTCTTTGTGACCTTGTACCAGTGACTATCCACCATTGTTCGAGTTTAATCACCTTCGTCTCTCCAACCCCGATCCTCCACCCTTCTATTCGAGCTTCCAAGATCTTTAACCCGAGCATGCATGACACGACCTCAAGCTTGAAATCCAACCCAATGACCTTGAATCTCAAATCCGAGTGACCAAAACACCCAATCAAAACACTTTACAAAAATGTATATCAATTAAAATAGATTTGTTTTAAGCGATACGTACGACAACGTTTATATCAATTAAAACACTTTACAAAAAATATTCTAAGTTGATTTAATCGATTGTTTCGCGATTCAATTGATTGAAATACTTGCAAAACTTTCTCGTAAAACTTTTCAAGTAATTTTAAGCTGATAAAAATAAGTTTTGATCGATTAAAGCAGCTGTGCAGAAATTGTTTTAATCGATTGAAACGAGATTTAATCAATTAAAATAGTTCCGATCGGTCATAACCGCTATCTAAAATGTATCTACGCTTGAGCGACACCATTCTCGCTCGAGCGAAACGCCCTCGCACAAAATTAGCATTCCGGGTTGTATTTCGCTTGAGCGACACTATCCTCGCTCGAGCGAAATAAGATTCTGATCGATCATAACTTGAAATGATCGATCATAAAGTCGACATTAGATAGCGGTTCCCTTAGAACCGCTATCTAAAGTCGACATTAGATAGCGGTTCCCTTAGAACCGCTATCTAAAGTGTATCTCGCTTGAGCGACACCCTTCTCGCTCGAGCGAAAAGCCCCCTGCACAAAATTAGCATTCTCGGGTTGCATTTCGCTTGAGCGACACTGTCCTCGCTCGAGCGAAATAATATTCGATCGATCATAACTTGAAATGATCGATCATAAAGTCGACATTAGATAGCGGTTCCCATAGAACCGCTATCTAAAGTCGACATTAGATAACGGTTCCTTTATAACCGCTATCAATAAGTAAAAATAAAAATAAAAAAAAGACTTTCAACGTCGGTTCATCTAGAACCGAGCGTGGAAAGTGTTTTCTACGTCGGTTAACTAAGAACCGACGTAGAATGTGTCCAACATTCAGCTTTCAACGTCGTTTTTAACCAACCGACGTTGAAAGTGTATTTAACGTCGGCTCAGACTTAAGCCGAGCGTTAAATAGCGACGTTGAAAGCATATTTTGTAGTAGTGGCTTCTTTATCAATGGAAAGGGCGAGATAATTTGAATAAAAGATATTAACAACTGACATATTTATTATCATTCTTAATATATATATATATATATATATATATATATATATATATATATATATATATATATATATATATATATATAAGAGAACCTTAAATCATAATAATTATGAAAATAAAAAAATTAATTTGACTTAAGTTAAACTTATGACCAAAATTCTTCCTTTAAACTATTAATTGACCTAATTGAAGTAATAATAGACAAGAGAACAAAATTACAATTTAATCTAACAATTATATTAAAATGTTTTTTTACTCTATATATCAATGGATCAATTAACCAACTAATATAATTAAATGGAATTACAAAAAATATATATTTTCTTAGATATTGTAAGATAAGTAATTAAATATATAAAACTAGGTTAGTAAGATGAGGATTGTACTTTAAAAAAGGAGGATTTTTTTTCATTACACTCCCTTTTATTATATTGAGAATGACTTTGATACTTTCTTTTGGGTGATTAAGTTCACTATTATTAATAATTAATGTTTCAACATCATTAAAGTTGGTTTTAATATCATTTTAGAAATAATGAGATTACTAACAGTAATAGATGAATATAAAGAAGTGAAATAATAAAAGGTTGAATTTATAAATATACAAACAAATATATTTAATAATTATTAAATTTAAAAAATTAAAATCATAAATATTAATTTAAATTAAAAAACTTTGAAGAGACTATGATCTTCCTCACCTCTCAATAAGCTCTATCATTGGGTGAGATCCTAAAAATAGATATGATTTTTCAACCAATTTCACATATAATAATTTTATCTTACAAAAATAAAATGACATTTCATATAAAAGATACATGTGTTCTTAAAAATAAAAGAATTGGGTGTGAATACATTTGCCCTAGTGATTATTTTGAGTTTATTCTATTGATGGTGATATTAAATAGTGCTGCTGATTGATAGTAATGGGCCTGCAAGCCACGGAGAGGGCCCAGTAATAATTGGTTCAGAATATTGCTTGCAAAGTGCTGATAAAAGAAAAGGCACCATTTTTACATTTTATTTGATTAAGCAAAAAGAAAAAGAGTGTGTACGGATAATGTTTCATGAGGTTAGGTCGGGTCATATTTAGAAATTTTCCCAAAATTCAAATAAATGATCAGAGTTTGGGTATCCCTTTCAATTTTCAGCAAAAATTTTCAATTGACCAACTCAACCTAAAATGGTAAGTTTGATCTTTTATTTAAATGAACCTTTTTATTATATATGCTTTGGTGAAACCACTTTTTCCTAACATTAAGATATATAATAATATATTTTATGGAAGAGTTTGTAAATTGCATTCTGAAAATTTTGGCATGAAAATCACTGGTGATAGTTGTCACAAACTGAGTTTATGATGACCTAATTTGAGGTGTGTAGGTGAAGCTGAGGATGTCATGTGAATGAAGGAGGCTTTATGCAGCATTCATGATTGCTTTTCTTTCTGGATTAGGTCTTAAACCTTCTGGATTAGTTCATGCTTTATCATAGATGCTTATTATAATCAAGTGACATTCCCAATATCTAAACTTTAATATGGCAAATGGAAAGTGACAACCATGATGGAGAAGAAAAAGAAAATGGCTAGGTAGGTTTTTCTTTTGGGTTTAAAAATTTGTTAGAAAAAAAATCCTTAAACCCCTCTCACTCTCCAAGTTGGTTGAAAGAAAGTCTAGCATTATAATGTTGTAACAATGTATAAATACATCATGTAACAAATTCAGGGTTTATGAATATTGTCTTCTAAGTAATTAAAATAAAAATAAAATATAATAATTATTCTCTATGAGAAAATTTAATTATTATGAACATGAATTAGATATTTAATTTATATTTTTCTTTTTAGTTTGTTGAGCTAGTCTATAATTTCAATTTTTTTTACCTGATTTTAATAGTTGCTTTGAATAATTAAGTGAGTGATTCACCTGATTATGCTACAATCCTCCTTCATTAATTTAAAATCAAATTAAAAAATAATTAACACAAAAGCATTAATGATGACCAAAAATTTAAAAATAATGATGCACTATCCTATTGAATGTCAACAAAATATAAGAAGAAACATTTAACAAACAGTATTGTTTTAGTAATTGATTTGTTTATTTTTCAATTTTTAAAATATTATAAAAAAAAGATAAAAAATACAATCAAAAGTTTACAACTGTTTTGAATATTTTATTCTAAAATTAATGATATGAAAATTGATTGTACCCATCGTCTTGAAAAAAAAAAAAAATCGAAAAT